GCCAGTGTGCCAGACCCTAAACAAGTCTGAATACCATGGATTCTAAAGTAGAACATAGAAAAGAAAAAAAAAAGCTTGCCTGGGGCCTGTGAGAGGGCTGAGTGGGTAAAGGTGCTTGCTGCTAAGCCTTAGGATCTGACTTCAATCCTCAGCAATCCCATGGCAGGAGGGAACTGGCTCTTGCAAGTTGTCCTCTGACCTCCATGTGCACGCTGTGACTGGAGTGTGTACATCTAATAAGTGCCATTCCTACTTAAGGATTTTAGTCTTTTTTGTTTGTTTGTTTTTTGAGACAGGGTTTCTCTGTGTAGCCCTGGCTATCCTGGAACTCACTCTGTAGATCAGGCTGGCCTCGAACTCAGAAATCCACCTGCCTCTGCCTCCCAAGTGCTGGGATTAAAGGCGTGCGCCACCACCACCCGGCAAGGATTTTAGTCTTTAACGTCTTTGAGAAGAAATGCTGACATTTAAGGCAGGCCGGAACGATGCTGGGATAGCCCTCAGACTCATGCCGGGTGGCTTGTGTGGCCCTGTGGTCTTTCTCTACATTTTGAAGATCATAGAACACAGAGAACCACCTACTCAGTTCTTGCTAGTGGTTAAAAGACAGAGGACCAGGGAGAAGCCAGAGGACCCAATCTGGTTCTATCCCCAGACCAATGTTAAAAACCACAGGGTTGTAGTGGCCCAGGGGCCGCTAGGCAGCTCTGTGACCCATCATGCCCCTGCGGAGCTGGGCTCAAAGCCAAAAACAGACCCTGAAGAAGGATATATCATCAGTCAGGAAAATGTAGACTGAGGGAAGAGGGGAACGAGGGACAAACAGACCGAGGTGGCTGACAGGGAACTATGGGTCTGCCCACAGAAAGGCAGACCTAGAACAAGAGCCTGCCTCTGCAGCAAAAGAGCAACAAGCCTGAGCCGTCACACGTTGTCTGTCAGGGCCCCGCCCACTTCCTTGTAGAGTCCAGAGCAAATTTTTTTTTAGACTTTACTTTCTGTATGAGTGCCCTATCTGCATGTACACCTACACGCCAGAAGAGGGCATCAGATCACACTATAGATAGTTAAGAGCCACCATGTGGTTCCTGGGAATTGAACTCAGGACCTCTGGATGAGCAGTCAGTGCTCTTAACCACTGAGCCATTTCTTCAGCCCATGTAAATGATTTTTTTAAGGGGTGAAATCATGGAATGGAGAGTCGACTCAGTGGTTAAGGGCACACATTGTTGCAAAGAACACAGGTTAAACTCACGGCACCCACATGCAGGCTAATCACCATGGTACCAGGCACACATGTGATATAGGGACATCCATGCAGGCAAAACACTCATACCCATACAATAATACAAATCTAAAATTAAAAAATTGGTGACATCATTTGCTGGTTGCTTAGCTTTTGGTACAACCGGGGGATTGTGGGACAGTGAATCTAGGAGGCTCTGTCTCTAGAGTCAGAGAAACATTCCACAGAGGGGACCACTTACATCCTACAGCAGGGAGCACAAAGCACCCTCAACTGCACACCGGACTCTCAGTTGAGCATTTGAGTCTGGATTGGGTTTTTGTTTATTTGTTTTTATTTTTTATTTTTTTATTTTTTGTAGCTGGAGGGATGGCCATGAGTGCTGGGAACTTATCTTTTTGGTTGTGAGCCTAGCCTCTAGCAGCTGAGACATCTTTCCAGCCTGTGTCTGGAATATTTTAAATTACATCCTGTCTTCTGTTTCCTATACAACCTCTTCCTGGTCCTTGCCCCCTCAGGACTGTGCCGGCTCTGGTCACGGCGCCCATTTTTCTAAGATTGTGAAAATCAGCTGTGAAAGTTGGAAAACTTGAGTCTGCACTGCGTGTGCCCTAAAATTGTGATTCACGGGGCTGGAGAGATGGCTCAGTGGTTAAGAGCTCTGACTGCTCTTTCAGAGGTCCTGAGTTCAATTCCCAGCAACCACATGGTGGCTCACAACCATCTGTAATGGAATCTGATGCCCTCTTCTGGTATGTCTGAAGAGAGCTACCATGTACTCGTATACATAAAATAAATAAATCTTTAAAAAAAATTGTGATTCACACAGCAGAGGGGAAGAGTCTGAGCATCCAAGTGTTCTGCAAGGTCTTATGGGAAACTCGCCAAGCTTGAGGTGGGATCATTGCTGGCATGACTGTTCTGAAGGAACACTGTGTGGCTCTGGAGTTTTAGGTACATGTGTTAAGAATTGAGGTGTCTGTGTACTGATCCACAACCAATAAAAATCTCAGATGTGGCCGGTCGGTGGTGGCGCACGCCTTTAATCCCAGCACTTGGGAGGCAGAGGCAGGCGGATTTCTGAGTTCGAGGCCAGCCTGGTCTACAGAGTGAGTTCCAGGACAGCCAGGACTACACAGAGAAACCCTATCTCGAAAAACCTAAAAAAAAAAAACACCTCAGATGTGGAAAGAAAAAAACCCACCAACAAAGCAGCAGTAACATCTACAGCAAACAAACAAAACAACAACAAAAAAACAGGGCTGGGGTGCTAAGAGGATCATGGGAGAACCCTAAAGCAAAAAACTGGAAAGGCTCCTCCCAGCATGCCGAGTAGCTTCTTCAGAGCCAAAAATGAGCCAGGCTTAGGTCCATTCCTAGCCAATATACTCTGACCCCACCCCAGGCCCCAGGTCATGTGAAATTAGGGTACAATTATATACAAATGCCAAGAGAAGCAAAGGAAGGTGACTAGACTCTCGGATGTCCCAGGAACCCTCCCTGCTCCTCTGAGGGAACAGTCAACAGTCCTGATAGTGATGTTCACTTGCAAGCAGGAACACCTGATCCCATGAAGAAGGCAGCTGTTCTGCTCAGAGGACCACAGTCCCCAGCGGTTCCGATGGTGTGACTCTATCTTGCATGTGCTGACTGAATAGATTTAAGGGAGGGTAGAAGCATCTGTAGGACTCTCCAGAAGTGTGTCTGGACCTTCTCTGCAGTTAGCTCTTCCCCTGTCACTGGCTATCGAAGGTCAGGTCTGCTGCCCACTTAGGAGCTGGGGGAGCGTACCAACTTTGAGGACTCTGGGTGAATTCAGTCATCAGCTGCTGTGTAAGTATTCCCTTCATAACGAATTCTCAGGCCGGACGTGTATAACTGGTCCATTGGGCCCTCAACGCCACCCGAGTGGCAGGGAGTCATGTAAGAATGCAAGGAAGTTGCCGGGCAGTGGTAGCGCATGCCTTTAATCCCAGCACTTGGGAGGCAGAGGCAGGTGGATTTCTGAGTTCGAGGCCAGCCTGGTCTACAGAGTGAGTTCCAGGACAGCCAGGGCTATGCAGAGAAACATTGTCCCAAAAACCAAAAAAAAAAAAAAAAAAAAAAAAGCGCGCTGGGTTCAGTCCTTAGCACCACAGAAACGAGGCACGGTGTCAAGCACCAAACTGGGTATGGTAGTGTGTGCCTGTGACCCCCCAGCACTCTTAAGGCAGAGGCAGGAGTGTGTGTGTGTCTGTGTGTCTGTGTGCCTGTGTGTCTGTGTGTTTCTACCATCCCCCTCCTCTGGAGGTCAGAGGACAATTTGCAGGAGTTGGCGCTTTCCTTTTATTATGTGGGGTCCTAGGGATTGAATTCAGGTCATCAGGCTTGGCAGTAAGCAACTTTACCCAGGGATCATTATCACAACCGGCAGAGTTCAAGACCAACCCGGGCTATGGGAGACTTTGATTTTAGAATAAACAATGATAACAAGTGAAGTTTAATGTTAGTTTGGCTTGAGTTCCTTTCTCTTACCTCTTGGTAATTGTGATTCAGACTCATGGCGGGGAAGGGCAGGTAAGGAAGAGACTTGAGGTCAGAGAACGCATGCATCTAGCAGGCACATGGGCAGTCTAAGTAAAAAAAACACCAGCTCCCGGCTTCCCTGAGGCTGTGTGAGTGTATCTCACCTGAGCACAGAGCTTGCACAGAACTCTCTCTGGCCCTGCTGAAGAACACCCCTGCTGTAGACCATCTTTCTGGAAACAGTACCCTGTTTTGGGGGTCAGGCTATGGGACAACATACCTGGATATTAGGTAGGACTGTCGACCTCTGTTGTTCAGGGTGACTGCAAGGGTTAAAGGTCAGTCAGGTCTGGAGACCAGCTGTGTCAGCTCAGGTAGTTTCCTCTGAGAGACTTGTGGGTCAACAGGACCTACAGGAGGGATAAGAGCAAACTGCGTGTCCCAGCCCTGTCCTGCCACAGGAATGTGTATAGGGGCGGAGGGGGTGGCTGGAAGTTAGCACCAGCTGTCCTTCAAGGCTGCTGTCCTCACAGATTAGGACAACCAGCCTCATCCTGTACTCAGGGTCACAGGCTAGAGACCCTGGTCCCAATGCTAGCCCGTAGTCAATAGCTTTTCTGAGAGAAGCCACTGCAGCCGGGCTCGGGGTCCCGGTCAGCTTCCGCAAATAACTACCCCGCTTCTCTGCTTTGCACCCCACCTAGAGCTCACCCCCCGCTCCGCAATCTTGAGCTCACTCCTTCATCCTCCTGCCTCACCCTCATCCCATCTGCCCCTGCCCGGAAACCCAGGTCCACCTGCCACAACCCAGGTCCCCGTTAGAGCCAAATGTCTCACTCGCCTGCCGCAGGGATTCTTTGCCGTCCTAGTCATTCTGGGTAGGAACTTGCTACTGACCTCTTTCCCTCCAAGGGTTCTAGCCCTGGTTCCTTGGTGCGCTTGGGCCCCCTTCAAACTCGCTATTCCAGATGAGTAAAGAAAAGAAGTTTTCCTTTACAGTTTAAGTCTGTGTTTTAAAGTAGCCCGTATCAGGCCCCCTCCCCTCCCCCGGCTTCACAGCACAAGCGCCCCGTTAATCCAGAGCCTTTCCTCTCTCCAGCCCCCTCCAGAGGCTGACAAGGCCTAGCCTGGGAATCAGCAGTTCTTGTCCCACATCTACTGAGCAGGACAGTCTGTGACCATTGGGCCCACGCTGGCTGGCTCCCATCCCCACAGCAACAGGGACTTCTCTCCAGCCGTGTTCAGGGAGCTTGTGGCCGCCCAGGCCGTCATGGCCTTCACCCAGGCCTTGGTCACCGTGCTGGCGTTGGTTGCTGGGACCCTGCCACACAGACACAGTAAAACCTCCGTTCTTAAAAAGGTAAGCACTGCCCTTGACTTGCCCTGTGACGGAAGTGGGGGCCGAGGCGTGTAGGATCCAGGCCCCATCTGGAGTAGGGGTGGGGGGTGGAGACCTCATCTGGAGAAGGTATACCTAACAGTCCTGGGCAGGTTTCATTTGCCTTTCCAGGACTGGAGACACTGCCCCTGGCCCAGCCCTTATCTGTGTTCTCAGCCCCAGGCTCACCACCCCTCTCCCACTATCCCAAGCCCTCTCTAACCTGCTGATTCTGGGGTTTCCCCTGCTCTTCTCCAAGACCTGGGGACCCTTCTAGATGCAAAGTCTTCTTCTCCCTTTTCTCCCCTCTATTTTATTTTTTTTAATTCTAAAAGTTCCTTCCCTCCCTCCTTCCTCCAACTTCTCTCTCTCTCTCTCTCTCTCTCTCTCTCTCTCTCTCTCTCTCTCTCTCTCTCTGTGTGTGTGTGTGTGTGTGTGTGTGTGTGTGTGTGGTCAGGAACATCTCAATAGAGTCTGTTTTCTCCTCCTCACATCTTTACTCATTCCCGGGGAGGGGGAGGATTGAACTCAGGTCTCCCAGCTTGCACAGCAAGCACCCTTGCTGGCTGAGCCATCTTGCTCCCCCCTCCGTGTCCGCTAGCTATTAGATTTGTGGTCTGGGAGCCATGGAGGTGAGCAGGCAGGATGCCCAGCTCCTGGCTCTTTTTTTTGCCCCATCAACTCCGGCTTCCTGGGCAGGGGTCCGCAGTGACAATCTTATGGCTTTCCCTCCTGGACTCACGGGTTCTTGGGCAATGCCAGGACCTCTGTCATCCTTCAGTCGACAAGAGCTGGTGACCAAGGGGCTATTTCTACAGGGCAACGGAGAGAACTGTGTCCACCACACCCAGTGCTTTAGTGACTGTTGCCTCATAGACCTGGAAAGAGGGGGGGCCTTCTGCACCTCCAAGTCCCGTGTAGGCATGGCGTGCTTGCCACAGGTGAGAAACCACTGACAAGTGGGGAGAGAGTGGGGGAAGCTATAAAAAAGACAGAAACAGATGCCTCTGCTCCCCCACTCCCTACCCCCGCCTCTTGGGGCGCCCTGATCCAACTACCCCAATTAGTATTCATTCTGCAATATCCCTTCTAAGTAGCATTCCGACATCCTGGGCTGCCTCAAGGAAGGGCAACTTGCAAAGATTCATTGAGTCACATTCCCTGCCCCCTATGAAGCCCCGCCCCGTGACTACTTAGTAGGTGCTTGCTGCACACCAGATGCTTGCTAAAAGAGAATCTTTTCCTTAACCTCTCTGAGCTGAGAAGGATGGGAGATACACCTACCCTGACCTAGTGCCCGTGACCTGGATACCTGGGAGGGCTGCAAGGCTAGCTAGGACCTCAGCTTCGCGGGGATCCAGGCTTAGATCATGGCTGCCCCAGCTCCTGTCTTTAGGCCTGCTCTGACCTTAATAAGTGGGACTATGTGTCTCTCTCATAAAGTGGCTGGGAAAAGTTCACAGGGCTCATTCAAGCAGGCTGTGGTTAACTGGAAGATGCAGAGGCACAGAGGTCTTCTTCCTATTCCATGGCCCTGAGCCCAAAGTCTCCTACGAAGGACGGACCCAGCCTCCATATCCTGCCCCGGTATACTGCCAGAGCTTAAAGGAACCAACCAGGGCCCCACTGTGGCCTGGAGAATTTCTTGTTTGTTTTGTTTGTTTTTGTTTGATTTTTTTTTCTTTTTGAGACAGGGTTTCTCTGTGTAGCCCTGGCTGTCCTGGAACTCACTCTGTAGACCAGGCTGGCCTCGAACTTAGAAATCCACCTGCCTCTGCCTCCCAAGTGCTGGGATTAAAGGTGTGTGCCACCACCGCCCAGCAAGAATTTCTTTACTAGAGGTCACTTGGTGCATTGTATCTCCCTCGCTAGAAGGCAGAGATGAGAACTCATCTACTTTGCTTTCTGTTGCTGTGATAAACACCAAGACCAAAAGGAAAACAACTCAGGGAGGAGAAAGTGTGTTACTGCTTACACTTCCAGGTCACAGTCCCTCATCAAGGGACTTCACACGGGAACTGAATTAGAGACCAGGAAGAAACACTGCTCGGTGGCTCACTACCAGGCTCACCTGCCTAGGCATGGTACCGCCCACAGTGGGCTTGGCCCTGCCCTGCCAATCATCAAGAGAATCTCTCACAGACCCAGCCATGAGCCAATCGAAGGGAGGCAATACCTTAACTAAGGTTCTCTCTTCCGGGGTGACTGTAGGTTATGTTAACAAAATCCAGTAGTGGGGAGGGTCCAGCCAGGGAGGGAGAGGTGGCTTATCAGTGAAGAGCACTTGTTCTTGCCAGGATAGGGGTTCCATTCCCAGCACCCGCATGATAGCTCACGACCATGTGTAACCCTAGTTCCAGGCAATGTAATGTGTGTGGAGACATATATAATCCCCTCAGTTCACACCCTTCCTCTCCCACAGACCAAAGGGAGTCTGAACATCATGTGTCCCTGTCGAACTGGCTTAAGCTGTCATTCCAAAGACCCCACGTGTGCCCGCCGGTGTCAAATGATATAGAGGATGACCCTCGCAGGCTGTTCATGTCCACAGCCGCTGCACCCTCCCTCCCCGGGTGCCACCCCACCCCCACCCCCACATCGACTCCTGGGCATTAAAGTCGTTTCCTGGCTCTGGTATCTGTCTGTCCTTTGTGGGAAAGGCAAAAGGGGACACTGAGGCACGAAGAGACTCTCCAGGGCTTGTTTTTGCCTAAAGCCTTGGTGAGAATAGGGATGGGATGGAGGGATGGAGACTTTCCTGGGACGGGGCGGGGCTGAGGATGAGGCTGGGAGGTCTGTGGTGAGGAGATAGAGGGGGAATATTTGGGTGGGGGGACGGAAGGGCAGAGGTCACTGGGAGTGTGCTCAAATTGCGTACGGATGTATAGATGCTAACGTGGGCTAACACGACGACTCAGACTTGCTGCCAAGCCTAAGGACCCGAGCTCAGTCCCCGGGTGTCACACGGTAGGAGAGATGGAACCCTAAAAGTTCTCCTCTGACATCCGCGCGCGCAGCACAGCATGCGTGTGTCACACGCAAAGTAATATTTAAACATTTAACGCAAGAATGTGAGGCTAGAGAGATGGCTGAGTAGTTAAGAGTGCTTCCTGTGACTCCAGGGGCCCCCGGGAGAGTTCAGTTCCCAACACCCCCATTGCATGGCTCACAAGGACCAATAACTCCAACGTCAGTGACTCTGCTGCCCTCTTCTGGCTTCTACAGGTACTGTGCCCGTGTGACCGCTGGAGTGGGGGCTGCGTGGGCATGTACACACACACACACACACACACACACACACACACACACACCATCCAAAAATGCAAGTGTTTGATGCGTGGAATGGCAAGGAGCAGTGGTCTTGATGCCTCCACTGTTAGGTTCTGCCAGCTCCACTGTACAGACAGAGAAACTGAGGCTCAGATCAACAGGCTGTGCCCCAGGTCTGAACCCTTGGGTGTCACCATAGACTTCCTTGCTTCAAGAACATCTGAAAATCCCAACCCGACCCGACTGGTTTAAGTGATGTGGGCAACTTGTTTGTGGTTAGATAATGGAATTTTAGAGTCAAGGCTGGTCCCAGCTCAGGCCCCAGCCAGCCCCGGGTCCCAGGATGAATTCCTTCCTGGTAGCCTAGCCACGGCAAGAGTTCACCCAATAACAGTGAATTTTGAAAATAATCTTTAAAAGGTTTCTTTTTATGTTGTGTGTGTGGCTGTTTCACCTGCATGTACGTCTAGACACGATGTGCATGCAATACTCGCAAAGGCCAGAAGAGGGCACCAGATATCCCAGAACTGAGTCATGGCTGGCTTGGGTGCTGCCTTTGTCAACCGCAGATTAAAGTTTATCTGGAATTTCTTACCTTTTTGTTTGAAGGAGGGGTATGTGTCTCTCCCTATCCTTCTGGAAGCCGGTTGGCTGGCTAACGAGCCCAGGGACCTCCAGATCTTTACTTCTGCCGTGCTGGCATTACAAGCATGCACCGCTACACCCAGCTTTTTTTTTTTTTTTTTAATGTAGTTTGGGGGTTCTCATGTTTCCAAAGCAAGCGTTTCAATGACTGAGCCATCTCCCCAGCTTCGGAAGACTGATAATTACCTAAACCAATCACTGACTGGAAGCTGCCAGCTGGGACAGCCTGGGTTCAGCAGAGGAGGGTGGAAGCAGGCTGGACCTGCGGCTTCCAGGTGTTTCCATATCCACAGCGGCTCTGCCCCGCCTGCTCCATCTTGTCCTTACTGTCCTGGGTTAGCTTGCACCCTGGCTCGGCACCTCTTGCTCCCATACTCCTGAGTGCTGGCACCGAAGGCCTGCAACGCCATGCCCAGTTTATGCAATGCTGGAGTTAGAACCCAGGGCTTCCTGTGTGCCAGGCAAACACTCTACCCACTGAGTCACACCCCCAAGTAACACTATGTGACTTTGTCCCCAAGTTATTTCTGATTGGTGGATAAAGATGCCAACATTCAATAGCTGGGCAGAAGAGAGATTGGGGGGTTTTGGGGTTCCTGGGCTAGAGGGTTGGAGGAGAACCGTGAGGGAGAGAAGAAGGGAGGAGGAAGAGGAAGACGCCATGGGTTAGTAGTCAAGAAAACATGGCCCTAGCCAGGCAGTGGAGGTGCACATCTTTAATCCCAGCACTTGGGAGGCAGAGGCAGGCGGATTTCTGAGTTCGAGGCCAGCCTGGTCTACAGAGTGAGTTCCAGGACAGCCAGGGCTACACAGAGAAACCCTGTCTCGAAAAACAAAAAACAAAAAACAAAAAAACAAAAAAAAGAAAGAAAAGAAAAGAAAAAAAACGAAAGCATGGCCCTGAGGGCTGGCCAATTGGAGTTAAGAGTGGCCCAGATGAAAGATAGTAAAGTAATAACTCAGGGTTATCGATAGGAAAGAAGATTCTAGCAGCATAGAAGGTAGGTATCTGCCCAGCTCCTGTGCTGATTAAGACTTATTGTAAATATAAAGGTGGTGTGTGTTTTTTGTCCAGGAATTAAATGGTCAAAGGCAGGGTAGAAACCCCAGATTGAGATTAAAATTTTCTTTTTTTTTCCTTTTTTCTTTTCCCTCCTTCCCTTCTCCCTCTTGCTCTGGCCCCACTCGCTCCAGCCCAAGGTTTTAATTTATTTGTTGTTGGGTTTTTTTTTTTTCAAGACAGGGTTTCTCTGTGTAGCCCTGGCTGTCCTGGAACTCACTCTGTAGACCAGGCTGGCCTCGAACTCAGAAATCAGCCTGCCTTTGCCTCCCGAGTTCTGCGATTAAAGGCGTGCGACACCACCACCCAGCAATTTATTTGATATATGTAAGTACAATGTGTAGCTGTCTTCAGACACCCCAGAAGAGGGCATCAGATCTCATTGTGAGATGGTTGTGAGCCACCATGTGGTTGCTGGGATTTGAACTCATGACCTTCAGAAGAGCAGTCAGTGCTCTTAACCGCTGGGCCATCTCATCAGCTCCTGGGATTAAAATTTCCTACAACAAGGACATTTAAATGTCAGTGTTACTCACCTGGCAGTGTTGGTGTTGTGCAGTAAACCAGATGTGGTGGCTCATGCCTATAATCCTAGCACTCGGGAGGCTGAGGCAAGAGGATTGCTTCAAGTTCCAGGAGAGCCTAGGCTAGAGAAACCCCTTTCCTAAAATGATGTCATTACTCAGTTAGCCTTTTTCCCATCATCCCCTTTGTCCAAGGGAGCAGAGAGAACACCTCGAATCCACCAAAGCCCCCTTCCTTGGGGTGTTTCTGCCTGGCCAAAAGAAGTGATATATAGTTTTTAGACAGAGCAGGAAAAAAAAAAAGAGTAATCGTGGTACAAGAGAGGAATCCCAGCCCAGGTGTTTGTCCAATGCCTTCAAACCTACCCCTTCCCACTGGCCCCACATGTGGGAGAGAAATAAACCGCACAGCCCACTAAAAAGTTCAGACCATACATATTAAAAGTGGTTCTAGGGGATGCTCACCCTGGATCTTCCAGCCACTACAGAGTGACCTGTCATTGTCTCCTGTCTCCCACTGAATGCTCCATTCTGGAATCTATGAAACTTTCATAGCGTCTGCACATAGCATCGTCAGCCTCAAGTGGGGGTGCGGGGCGGCGAGGCTGTCTTTGCCATCTGTGGGCAGCTAGAAAGCATTTAATTCTGTAATTCTCTCCCCTTGTGGTGACCCTGGGAACTATGAGAGGCTTGGATTTTTTTCAAGGCACCACACAGAAAACAGCCTTGAACTCAGCAGACACTTCACAAGCAAAAACCCACCTTTTCTGGGCATGGTGGTGTACCCCTATAATCCCGACACTCAGGAGGCTGGGGCTGAACTCTTGATTCTCCTGCCTCAGTGCGGGAGATCAGACAGCCATAGTAGAAGAGGCTGGAGTTTAAATCAGATCCTATTGGAGCTGAGGTTTCCTCAGGCATTGAAACAGTGTTCGATCTCCATTGTTCTCAGAACAAGGACTTTCTACTTTGTTTTTTTGTTGTTGTTGTTTTTTGTTTTAAGGAATTATTTATTTATTTTATGTATGAGTACACTGTTGCTGTCTTTAGATACACCAGAAGAGGGCATCAGATCCCATTAGAGATGGTCATGAGTCACCATGTGGTTGCTGGGAATTGAACTCAGGACCTGTGGAAGAGCAGTCAGTGCTCTTAACTGCTGAGCCATCTCTCCAGCCCCGACTTTCTACTTTGTAGCAAGGACTTTCTACATTGTAGCAAGACTGGATCGGAAGGAACTAAACACCTCTCCCCACCCAATAAGGTCCTGAAAAGAAACCAAAGCTCCTTTCCACAACCCTCCTCCCCAACCCGTCAGAACTTGAGTTCATTGTACAGGGGTACGGACAGAAACGTGGGTGATCCCAAAGCAGCTGTTGCCCTGAAAGTCTGCCCTACCCCCCACTCCTGCTCCTACATTGGCTTCCCTGTGACTTCAGAGAGAGATGAAGCCCTTGCCCTAATCTACTTCATTCCCTTCCCTGAGGCCACTCCCTCTCCAGGCCTCAAGCAATTAGGGCAGAATTACAAACAGTTGTCTGGGAGGAGCGGCTGCAGAGTATGATAGTCACACGACCTACACTCTACAGCCTTCTTTGAGTGAACTTCAACCCCCAATGCAGCTAAACTCCTGAAGATGGCAGTTGGTCAGCTGGGAAGATAGTCCTGTACAGCACACACTCACTGCTGTTTCTTTTGGCCCGTTTCTCCTGTTAGCCCAGAACCATAGGACCACAGGACCTCTCCTCCCAGCCTTTGACTATATGGTTATGACAGTAGGAGCCAAGCCTTTAGCTGTCCCCTAAAGAGCCCTTCACTTTTGACCATCCTATGTAACCACAGCAACAGCGGCTGTCCCTCTCACCCCGCCCCCCAGCAACAGTTTGTTTTGATTGTATCTCCCCTCTGGAGGGTGCAACCCTCTCCAGCTGCCATGGCCCTAAGGTTGTATTGTCTGGGAAGGCAGGCAGTCTCTGAGACTGGCAGGAGACAGCAGCAAGTGGCATAACAAAGAAGGTTGAGTCCAAGACAATTAGGAGAAAGGCTCTGGTCCTGAGGTTTGGGCTATGGCTGTCAGAGAGATGAGACGTAACAGCCCCTGCTCTGAGCTCCCTGGGCTCACCCCACTT